TCTCAGCTTCTTCTCCAGCCCTGGTGTCCTACTGGTCTCCACTTCTTCTCCAACCTTGGTGTCCTCCTGGCCTCAGCTTCTTCTCCAGCCCTGGTGTCCTCCTGGTCTCAGTTTCTCCAGCCCTGGTGTCCTCCTGGTCTCAGCTTCTCCAGCCCTGGAGAAGAATGCGGAACAGTTTAGCTCGAAAAGTAAAGACTGTAACCCTTGAGCACTGCGTTCTTTAAAAAAAAATTTTACAGGACCAAATTGTCAACAGCCATGTTAAAGCACAGATGAGAGGGTTGGGGCAGGGAGCTCAAGTCCATGGGTTCGAAACCACCAGAAGAGAAATAATGAGAACGTTGACACCATGTGAAGAATGTAACCAATGTCAGAGGTCATTATGTCTAGACACTGTGGAACGGGAGTGGGTTTTGCTCTGTATATTTTCACCAAAAAGAAAATACTGTTTTTTTTAAAAGTGCTTAGGTATAAGACACGCCCTATACTAATCCGTCCTCTTTAACACAACATAGAAAAAGCTCTATTCCCAAATGGGATCAAATCCACAGGTAGGCAGGTCAGGACTCCAACACATAGTTTTGGAGACACAATTTAATCCGTAACACTGCCAGAAATATACCACCCCCATCCAAGCACAAGGACCCATCACTAATCTCACACCAAGGGACAGTCTACAAAACATCCACCTGGTTCCTTTCAAAAGTGTCCAGGTCCTGAAAGGGTAAAGAAAGACCGAGAACGGTCCCCACTAGGTGACTAAAGAGACAATTAACTGCATCATGGGGACATAGAAGGGATCCTGGAGCAGAAAACGGACATTAGTCAGGAACCAGGGAAATTGGAATAGGCTGTGGGTGAGGTAAACTTTTCTTATCAACATTCATTCCCGAGTTTTGATCGCTGCCCTGTAAGAGGACACATGCGGGGAAGCTGGGGGAAGGAAAAGGTGGCCTGGTGGCTCGAAGGTTAATTGCTCGGCTGAAAGGTCAGCGGTTCCAACCCACCAGCGGCTCCAAGGGAGAAAGACCAGGCGATCTGCTCCTGTCAAGATTACAGCCTAGAAAACCCTATGGGGCAGTTCTACGCTGCTGCGCGTCAACTCCATGGCAAACAGCAATGATGTGCGTGTTTGGGGGGGAATCCGAGGATTCTTCAGAGTATTGTAAGTGGGAAATAGTTTGACACTGAAAAAAAAATTTTTTTTTAAATTTTCTCTCCCAATTCAGTGAGCTTTTCTCTGTTTCTACTTCTTTAAAATTTTTATTGTCAGAGCCGTGTTGCCAAGAATCGGAGTGTATTCGATAGCAGCAAACAGCATTAAAATAAGCAGCTATCCTTCAGCGCAGGGTTTCTCTCCCTCGGCCCTGCTGCCATGTGGAACTTGATCATTTTTTGTAGGGGGCCATCCTGTGCACTGTAGGGTATTGAGCAGTATCCCTGCCCTCCACCCACTCAATGCCAGTAACACCCACCCCCAATCAAGACACCCACAAATGTCCTCAGACATCTCCCAGTGTCCCTGGGGTCAGAATCGCCCCAGGTGGGGACCCCTGGGTTAGCGGATCCCACTGATCCCCAAGACACTCTGCGTCCCATAATCATCTGACCTACTGACGTCCTAGGAGGCTGCCCGCATTTAAATCCACACACTGAGCAGGAAGGAGAGATGAGGGAAATCACAGGAGCTGGAGGGTCCCTTGGTTTACATTGTGATACCCAGTGGGAGTTTATTCTGCTGTACAGTGTGAGCAGGGACTGAACTCAATTTTTTTCCAAATAACTAACGCAGGGTCTCTACCCCATGGCACTGCAGACACTGGGGCCAGATCCTTCTCTGGGGTGGGCTGTCCTGTGCACTGTAGGGTGTTGAGCAGCATCCCTGTCCACCCCCACTTGATGCCAGTTGCACCCTCCCCCAGTCATGAGGACCACAAACGTCCCCAAACATCGCCCAGTGTCCACTGGGGACAGAATTGCCCCCGGTGAGGGCTGCTGCCCCAGAGGAAAAACGCAACCCCCCAAACAAAAGCTGGGCAAAGAGTAAGTTTCTGTGGGGTCTCACGTGGGGGACTGAGGGGAACGTGGTGGCTCTGTGCCTGCCCTGTTCCCTGTCCCCTTCCCCTGCTCCCAGCTTTGTTGTCCTCACAGTGGTCCGGGCTCACCCCAGCCAGCACCAGATGCTCAGGCACACCAGGCTTTGCTGTGGCCACAGGGACCTGTGGGGGGGGGGTCTTTGCAGGGGTGTGTGTCACTCTGAGGCTGTGGCCATGCTCCCCTTGTCCAGGAGACGCCTAGCATGGGGTGGGTGGGCTACAGCTTTCCACGCCTCACGGGACAGTCAAGACCCTGAGCCCAAAGCCCCCGCTCAGCCACCCTCCTCCCTCTCTGCAGTACGGTTCTGCTCCCCCAATCCCTGTGACCCCCAAGGAGGAAGGAGGAAGTGGGGACGCCCAGACCTGCTGTGGGGCAACCACAACGGCCTCCCCACACTGGGGCTATAAGAGGGGCCAGGCGGATTGGGGGGCAGAGACCACAGAGCCCCCGCCTGACCATGACGCGTGGCTGCCAACCCTCCAGCCGTGCCCTCACCCCCCTCCTACTGGCCGTGCTTCTGGGAGGTGAGTGGGGCGTCCGTCCATCTGGGTACTTGGGGGGCTGTCCACCACACAGTTCAATCCAACACTCTCATGGGACAGATGGGGAGAGTCTTAGTTATCTAGTGATGACATAACAGAAATACTACAAGCAGAAGGCTTTAGCAAACAGAAGTTTATTCTCTCACAGCAGAGGAGGCTAGAAGTCCGAATTCAGGGCACTGGCTCTAGGGGAAGGCTTTCTCTCTCTGTCGGCTCTGGGGGAAGGTCCTTGTCCGTTCAGCTTCTGCTCCTGGACGATCTTCATGTGGCTGGGCATCTCTCTTCCTCCATCTCTCTCTGCTCACTTGTTTAATGTCTTTTATATCTCAAAAGAGATTGATTCAAGATACACCCTACACTAATCCTGCCTCATTAACATAACTAAGACAAGCTATTCCCTAATGGACTTATAACCACAGACATAGAGGTTAGGATTTACAACACATATTTTGGGGGAATACAATTCAATCTGTAACAAGGAGACTGAGGCAGGACCAGGACAGTACTTGATTTGCTGCTCGGGACTAATGTCCTAAAACAAACAAACAAAAAAAAACCCATTGCTGTCAAGTTGATTCCAACTCATAGCAACCCTAAAGGACAGAGTAGAACTGCCCCATAGAGTTTCCAAGGAGCGGCTGATGGATTCAAACTGCTGAGGTCTTAACCACTATGCCACCAGGGCGCCAATGTTCCAAGGGAGTGTGAATGAAAGAAAGAGGGGAGATTGTAAGCTGCTCGACTCAGTTTCTCCGTCTGTAAAATGGGCATAGTCCAGTTCCTCCCTCACAGGAAGACTGGGGAGTTTAAATGGACAAATTCCTGGCACACAGCAAGTACTCAATAAGTGCACATGAGTGAATAAGTGAGTGAGTGAGTGAATGAGTGAACGACTCTGTGTCGGGAAGAACAGGAGCCAGGGACCCCCACGGTGTCCATGCCTCAGTTTGTCCATTTGGAAAGTGCCTCTTAAATGCCCCCCTGGCTGGCAGGACCCAATGCCACTGCCTCCAGGAAGCCCTCAGATGTAACAGGAGCAATACTGACCATCAGATGCTAACTATTCCAGGTCTCAGACCCCCTTCCTCCAGGATGCCCATTTTGCAGATGAGTAGACGGAGGCACGAGAAATTCAGGGATTGGGTGGAGGTCACACAGTGGCTCTGTCCTTCCCCCACCCCCAACTGGGGGCACTTTGGGATGGGGCACCATACAGAAATGTGCTGACACCCCGGCCCCCCAGGTGCATCCCAGGCCACCGAGATTGTGGGCGGACGGCCTTCGGAGCCTCACTCGCGGCCCTACATGGCATCATTGCAGTTTCGGGGGGTCTCTGGTGCCCACTTCTGTGGAGGCACCTTGATCCACCCAAGGTTCGTGCTGACAGCTGCCCACTGCCTACAGAACACGTGAGTATGGGGGTCTGAGCAGGGAGGCACCACTGAGGGGGTCTGAGGGGGGAGGCACCACTGTGGGGGTCTGAGGGGGGAGGCACCACTGAGGGAGTCTGAGGGGGGAGGCACCACTGTGGGGGTCTGAGGGGGGAGGCACCACTGTGGGGGTCTGAGGGGGGAGGCACCACTGTGGGGGTCTGAGGGGGGAGGCATCACTGTGGGGCAGAGAGAGACAAGGTCGTTATGTTCCCTGAGTCAGGGGCAGAGGAGGCTCGGGGGGTGGGGAGGATGGGTGGGACTTGAGGGGACTGGGGACAAGCACACTGCTCCCTCAGGGACCCCACCCAGGTGAATGTAGTGCTGGGGGCCCACGACCTGCGGACCCCTGAGCCTACCCAACAGCAGTTCATGGTCTCGCGTCTGTTTGAGAACAACTACAACCCACAGGAGAAGCTCAATGATGTGCTCCTTCTGCAGGTGGGGCCGGGGGCTGGGGGAGC